AGGGGAAGAAAGGTGTCTTAAGCGGAGCGCTCTTCTAAAGGCGTCTGCCAACTGTTACATCGCTTTGTTCAGACCCACACAATAAAATGAGCTCCGTCTGCAAAAGAATGCCATGCCAAGCCGGCGCGTCTGAGCTCATTCACTTTTACGCCGGCGGAGTCAGGAAATGTGCATGCTTTTAGTCTACTTTCATTCATGTCTTCATTGTATCCAATTCTGTTGCTTGGCAACATCCATGAAATTGCTATGGAAACATGCCCAGTGATTTAAAAATAGATGACTCCGAGTTCACGTCATGTCCAAAGTTAAAATAATGACAAGGATATATGCGTGACGATTAATCAGAGATTTGTTCTTTCGTGCGTTTTCGTCTCTTTCGCCCAAGTGTTTTTAGTGATATAAGGGGTTTGGTGCCAAATAGGAGGTGCGCTGGCAGTGACGTCTTATTTCAGAGGCAGACAGACATTCATTGACCAATCTTCCCTCCGACCATCCCTTGACTTCTCGCCGTGTCAATGGGAGAGCTGATGTGGCTGGATGGATTTATCTTTCATGACGCAGACATCTTAACATTTCTCATGCTTTATGTTTTGTTAAAAGTAATCATCGATGCCACCTTAATGAGTCGTAAATACGTTTAAGAACAAGTCAGTTAGAGAAGATACCCTTTAAGTTTTTTTTTTGTCAACATATAATATTGATCACAAGAATTAGCAATAATGGGCTGTTCAGAAAAAGTATTCTACAGAGGGAGGGGTGCTTCTTAAATACAGCATACTGTACTATTGACAATGGTGGAGCAACCATGTCAGTGCCAATCATAATGCTGTATGTAAATATGTGAAATGGGCCACATACTGTAGAAAATCCACAGAGTTTATTGTGTGTTTTCCTGTCATGTTCTTCCCAAATGCAGGTTACTTGAACCCAGGCCACAAAAAACATACAATCTGCATTAAAATTAGACATGTATATCCTCTGTATAGAATATTGTGGTGTGGTTATGGAGTCATGCTGTTGGTTTTTGGAGTTATTCAGCTTTAAGATGTACAATTTTAAATGCAAGAGCCCATATACAGTGAGAAACCGAGGCATTGTCTGGATGAAACGGTGCCAAGCCAGTCCTGTGGTGGAGGTGGATGGATGTGAAGAACATCACTGTGTGTTTGGATAAGATAGTTTCACTTCTCTGCCTTTGCCCGAAACTAAAAGCTGATGCAAGGTGGCTCGGTTGTCATGGAGACCCATTAATGTAGAGGAGAAGACAGGCAAGGAAGGCACCCCCACACCCTCACGCACACTCACGCACACACAGACACACAAACTCCGAAAGTCATAATGACAAAGGCGTCAGGTTATTGGTGGGGGGGTTTCTGAGTGTGCTGCAGTGGGGAAAACGTTACCCATTTGGATGAACACATCACAGCAGCTCCAGTACCTGTCTCTCAGTGACAACAGACTGTTGTAAGACACGTAGAAGCAGTTCAACAACTCTGAGCCCTAAATCCCTCCCCCAAAGATGAATGCGTGCGGTGTTTCTAGTCACCATGCTCCTAAACCATCCCCCATTCTCTGGTAAGCTGAGTAACAGCTAAGAAACAGACATGATATGTAAAACTGAAGTTATTTATTATACATTTGAGCTCTTTCTACACAAACTGTTGACTTAATTGTTCAATAATCCAATGAGCGGGCTCATATTTACGGTAAAGTTCTTGCCTGTTGGTGTATTTGTGTTGCCCATGATGCAGCTATTTTTCTAGGAGGGTCAGTGGATGTGTGTGTGTTTGTGCAACAGAAAAATGCAACAACCAAGAAGCCATGCGAGGGCACTAATTAGCCATCAGGGCTCAACTTCCACCTTGGTCACTGCTTCCTCCTCTCCTGTAATGTGCTTTTCTGCCTGTCTCTAAAGGTTGCTCCTCCATTCTCATTATTATTCTCAGTGTCATGGCTTTCTTTTCCACTTTCCTACTTTTGCAATGAATGTTCCTTAACATGAGCTGGGCAAATCCAAAGGACGCTGAAAAGACCAGGTCTTTTTTCTAACCTACACTTATCAACGTCAGTTTTGATGATCGGTTGAATGAAATTAGATTAGGGCCTCTGGGAATAATGATGAATATGTTTCATTGTCAATCAGTTATTAAATAACACCTCACAGCATTGCAGCAATACCCTTCAAGGAACTGGCTGTAATGGCACAAATATTACAATTTTCTGCCTTTCTGCATAACCTGTCATCCTTCAGGCAAACGTAAATACATGATCCAAAATAGACATTTCCAAACATAATTCACTATATTATAGATTCACACAGTTGTGTTTTTCTCCCCCTTATTTCTTCAGTGTATAATGTAGCCTTATTGATATTTAAAGGTGGAGGGTTTTCAAAGTTCCATAGTCTCGTGTTAAATGCCGAAGGAGATCATTTTCTCCCATCGAGGACAATGCCCAGAACACATTTATCTTTGTGTCAGAAGCAATAATGTTGTTTGTTATTTGCTAATGGGTTGACATTTTCGAAAATGGGAGGCATGGCGCCAGCTGTTTCATAGACAGGAGATATAAATGATGTGCACATCAAATTAAAGATTTATTATGTGTTCATTGGTAAAGTAAGAAGCCAAAAGGTTAGTTTTCTTTGGACTTCGTGAGAGCTTGAGTAAAGGCAACTGCTTGTTGGATCTTGTAGATGTTTCTCAAGTGCCTCTTCAGTTCTTTTTTCTAACAATAAATCCAGTAGCCTTTATTCAATCTCAGAGGATTCTGACTGAGAATATCAACCAACATGTTTTTGTGGACCGAACCAGGTTAGATCTTTACAAATGTTTCCAGTCACATTTACCTCTGTATTTATATTCATATAAGCTATCTCTATTTATGTTATATAATGTATACATGCAATCCTGATATTCTTATTGGTCACCAACTAATCTTCAGGATTTCTAGCTTGAAAAGTTTAAACAAATCAGTTTAGGATTTCTAATGCAATTAAGTTTTCTATGTGAATATATTAAGATTTTCAATGACAGTGTTGAAAGTGGTTGGAATGACTTTGCAAACTATAGTTCTAATGTTATTCTGTTTTGAGTGCAGTCAACACAGATAAAAACGGAATGGGTAAAAAAAATTAAAGATCCACATTTTTCGCTCAGATATTAGGCCCAAGTCTTTTTGTTCTTTGCATTTTCAAATGACAGTATATAACAGTCTTCACAGCAGATTACACGCAGCGATAGATCTGAGTTTTGTTCCAGCAACTTAGATGTTTGTGCACAGTCGAACTCAAGCTGTGTTTGAAGAAACTGCAGCCTGGTGACAATTTAATTAACCAACTGTCAGTCATATCCACACTGAATCACTGATGTCTTGGCCAAATTGCTTTTCTCTCATCTTCACTTGGACTGAAATAAAAACAGAAAGAAAAACATTGGAGCAGTTTGTGTTATTACACAGATGCTGCCCTGGCCTTCCCTGCTATCATACTAATAAATGTATGCGTTGCAAACTCAGTGGTAATTTTGCTCACATATCAACCCTCACCTGCAGCTTTAAATAACAAATTCATCCAGCATGGTGTGAACATTACAGCGCTTTCTCTCATAAGTGGTCACATTCTGCATTTTGATGTTTACAAATCACAAATTGAAGTGAGAGCAGGAAGGGTGATAATTGAATTCCTTCCAAGAAGCTTTTACGTTAACCCTTATTTTTCAAACATCACACACTGGAAGCTATGAAGTTCAAGTAGACTCAATATAAATGTCACATTTGATTGGCTTATCCGTCTGTCTAATTAAAATAAAAATGAGGAAGTGATGGCATCAAACTAGATGCCATTATTGTTCCTCACAAGACCCTGGAATGAGAAAGCGCTGACATGCTGAGACAATGCTAGTGGTTTATCCCAAAGGGAATCTCTTTTATTGGCCATGGGCTGCACTGTGTTAACTCAGAATTATGATGTTGTGTTTGTCCTCTTGGAAGAAGCACCGCAGCTGTGTAAGATGCAGCTGATACTAAATGGATTCGAATGTTTGTATGTTCATGTTTGTGTGTGTTCATGTTCACAGTCATGTACTCTTGAACAGTGACAGATTGGCGAGCTAGAAGTGGGTGTGTAAGAAAAGAGGAATCTCTTATTTAATGGGTATGAAAATACAATGAAAATGTCAAAAGTATCCCTGAAGATTTTCCTTTGTAAACAGGCTTATTAAAGACGAACAGTTTCCATGGAGAGGAGTATAACATGCCCAGCATGGGGTTCAGAAATGGCTTTCAAGTCTATGGAACCCATTATTTTCCCTGTGATGTGTTGACTGCGTAAGATAAATTCCCAGTTTGTCACAACGCAGTCACATTGTCACCTTTATTTCTTGAAAAGTGCGTTTTATTTGTCACCTGCGCCTGGTACATTTCTGCAGCTGTCCTCCAAATGTGATTGCATGTTCAACACTTTGTCCTTTGATACTCATTTCAGCAACCTGCCTTCTCTTGCTGTTTAGCTGCCCTGCCCCACAGACTGCCTCCCCTTTAATGTAACTTCCTATCACATTTTTCATCCCCATCATTCTTCTCCTCTCTGCTTTTTTCAGTTTAATTTCCTTGAACCTTCTTCCCACGTTTAATCTCTGCTTCCTCTCTACCCTTTCCCTTCCAGCTAGTCAGTATTCATACTTTCTTTCATTTCAAAGGTCCAACTCACAGCCTCCACACAAATGCACACACATAAACTAAGCCTAGACATTGAGCTGATAACCGTCACTCATAAATCATGAGCCTCAAGGTGGCCATTAATCATATTTCCAATCAGGTGAAATATCATCTGCAATATTTCTTTATCTTCTCCAACTGTCTCTGATACACACACAGGCCTGTCTATCTATTTCTATTAGGGCATTGCACTGACTTTTTTTAGATTTGGATGTGGACTCACCCCTAACATTAACCTTAACCCCAATCCTCAGACCAGTTTACATCCTAACCCCCACCAGACTTAGAAAAGAAACATTAATAGCATTATTATAGCCAGATTTTCATTCTTATCTGGACCACTGATCCCAACAATGTCACTGATTATGCCCGGAAAGGAAATAAAGCAAGCGCATGTGGGCAAATATCAGCTGAAGCTGACAAAGATGGAGGAACGGGAATCAAAAAGCAGTAAAGAGTAGGTAGGACCGGGATGAAGGTAATAGCACTTCAGCTTTTCTGAGCAGTTTTAAACCATCAAATCATTTTGCCACTTCAATTTAGTGGAAACCATATTGCCTCACATTTATTACATCTGCTACAAGCCCTGTAGCCTGATAGAGTGTTTGTACAGCAATTAACAGAGAAGCCAAAGTGTCTATGTTTTTGTTATCTTACCACGTGAGCCAGATATGTTTATTTTCTTCCATAAGGCACAGAGTCTCACTTTGCTGCTTAAAATAGTCAAGACCTTTTTTTCCCCATCCGTGACTAGACACAGAAACTTGTGCTCTATTTCCAACAAACTGATTTGACACTAATTAATTTGATGTCCCTTATTAAGCAGCAGACCTAGTTAATGAAAGCAAGCATGTCCTTAAAAGCTGTGCCACAGACAATGATGGTAATGTGGCTCAACTTTGGGCACCAGGGAATTGGTGTTGATGGATATGTGTTATACTGTGTTAATGAGGGGCTGGTGATATGAGAAATCAGCTGCATTTCATGTTGCTTGTTAAAGCTTAAGAGATATCAAAAGGCTGGTATTTATCATATGGTAACCGTATTTGTTGCTTACTGAGATTAACTCAAGGAAGTTTACCTGAGGCTCAACTATTTATCTTTGCTCTGAGAGAATTTCTTTCTCCAACAACAGCTGAGCATTCGCATGTTTTATTCACAGGGAATTTAGACTGAGTGAGAAAGGAAATTGGACAGGACTTTTATTTTGTTATGATCAAGTAGTTAAAAGACATATCAGCAAAAACTGAGAGGAAAGATAGAGGTCTGTGTAGGATCTGTACATTTGCTCACCAGAGATCTTTTAGGATGAAAGTGATCTTGTTTTTCTTATACAGACCTTTTAAACCTTCCTCTTCAGTCCTACTGTATGAGCATAATATCGACATTCCAGTCAAAAATAACAAATTACTGTAATTATCATGATATAATCTTTTACTTATCAGAAATTGTGGTCCAAGACAACCATTCATATATCTATTGTCTATACCGCTCATCTCTCATGGGGTCACAAGGGGGGCTAGAGCCACATGCTCACTTTCACTCCAACGGGCTATTTAGTGTCTTCAATTAACCTAACATGCATGTATTTGGTCTTTGGGAGGAAGCTGGAGTACTTGGAAAGGACCCACATTTACATGGTCAGAACATGCCTAACCTACACAGAAAGGTCACTAGTCCCGCAAGAATTTGAGCTGTTTTATTGCGACACCACCCGAGACAACCGACTGGATCCTGTTCAATGCTAATCCTTTATCGTACCCTGCTGGCGTGTCTTATTTTCTTATTTATTTAGTATTAATCAGTGTGCCAACTTCTGAAAACCATATTGAAACATTCTGTAAGTGTCAAACAGCGACAGAACTACCACAACCCAATTTCCAGAGTGCTGTGCGAAATGAAATTGAATATTTTAATTGGATGTTTATAGATAGTTGCTTTCTCATCTGCGCTGCAGTCCTGAACATGTAAATGCTGGAAAATTTAATTCCAGCTTTTTGTTGAGATTTCCCAAACAGCGAAAAGGGGTAAAAACAGACAAAATGTCCTGGCATGAATGCATAAAGCAAAGCTTTTTAAATGAATTGCACAGGGGTGCTGTGCATGCTGACAGGCATTGCTGCTTTCTGCTTTTTCCTTGTGCCACATATGTGTCATAGAAATGTCCAGAAACATGTAGACATGATATCTACCCAAATATATGCATCATTATTTTTATGTTGGGAGTCTCATTAATTGTCCGTATTATATTGTACACACACTCACTGTAACACAAACACATACACAGCTAATTGCCCTTATTAGTTCCTCAGTTCATAGGTCTTTTTCACATAGTGGTTATGGCGTATAAACACAAAACACATGTCTGTGCTTCGATTGGTGCTGTTTTCCTTTAGTAATGTATGCAGGTGTCGGCCCTCTGCTTACAAGTTTTTGTCAACGTGGCTGTCATAGAGTTTAACAGGAACAGGAAACTCTGCTGTAGCTGTAAACCTGAACACACAACTGGACATGTACATGTGCAAATATATGTGAATCAAGCCGCAGCAAAGCCCATCTATCTGAAGCAGGGCTGTGAATAAAATACCACAGAAGAGGCATGCCCACTGACTCCGTCCCCTAACCACTTTCTCTCCAGACAAAGAACTGCTCAACTTTTCAGTGCAGCGACAAAAACAGGCCTTTCTGAACTTTAACCCTTTACTTTCTCTCTCTGTTTCTCTTGGCAGTAGAGATTCCCAGCACACTATAATTGTTTCTACCATCACTTCATGATTTGGACATGGGCCACAATCTAGTGGATCTGAGTGGGCCTTGAACTCTTTTCCACGCTGCAGTGTTGTCCTTCCAGTTTCCATAATAAAAAAATAAGCACTTGGCTTTTACCCTTAGCTTGGAGGATATATCGTTGATTCAGAGACCTTTTACGTTTTAAGATGAAAGTTTTGCACTCCTGTGCTCTCCAAAAGGTTCTTATAGCACTTGAGAAGGTCTTTCACCTGTTTGAATAGAACATTTAGTTAGCTGTTCTCAAGTAAATGACGATCAAGGGTCAAATTAAAGCAGAGCTTCTCTTCTAAATCCTAATGCCTCATTTGTACTGCGCCATTAAAAGCCATTTCCAATATGACTGTCCATGACATCAGTCTTTATCTGTGACAAGAGCTCATGAGTGTCTTATTCAAGTGAAAGCAGTTTGGTGTCTCCACACAATTCCATGTGGATAGGTACTAGTGTCTCTGTCTTCAGGGCCCAAGCATCATGCAGCTCAAACCAAATACGGATAAATCCACCCAAATAGGACCTTGTTTCTTGTTCTTTTGTGCTGCAGGCATCAATCAAGGCAGCTGTTACAGGATCAACCATTTCCCGGATGACAACGACTATGACACAGACAGCTCTGAATATCTGCTACGTAAGTGTTGCCCACTCGTCCTTTTCATCAGGCACTCTTAATACAGATTTCATTAAGAGAAGAATAGATGTGTGTGGACATTCTCTGGCTTTCCGCACACACTAGATGTGGGGCAATTAGCCTGGGCTTGTAAACCCTGTTCCTGACACTGAGGAGTTTTTGGCGTGGCCTTTAGTTTCTCCACTGCCCCAACCCATCTGAACATAATACCTGGAGCCTGGTCCTCCTTTTTTTGATCATAACATTAACCATTTGAATGATGCACACAAAGTAAATTAAAAATAATTGTATCAGGGAGGGTAGAATAAGACAAGTGGTGGAAATTATATTCTTCTTCCCTCTGGCCACAATGTAGATACATGACAAACATTCAATTAGGGAACAAACCTCTTTTGAAGCATAGCTGGTTCAATGTCTGCTTCATGTGTGATATGGAACAAGGGGATTTATCAGACTTTGGATAAAGTCCAAGCTAGCTCCATTAGTTGGACGAAATGAAAAGGGGGCTAATGAAAGACTTCACAGCTGAACAAGCCTGTCCACCCTTGGATGAAGTAAAATGGCAGAGTGATTCATTTTCTGATGGCGATGGTCAGTGAAAGCTCTTGTTACAACCCACAGCTGATTAGCAAAGCTTTGTCACAACAAGGCCCCCCAGAAATAAATGATAGAGCTTTGAAAACTGGTCGGAAAAAGTAGAAGTAGAAAAGCAGTGGGATTGAAAGAGGAGGTTTCAAAAGGTTAATGACCATTTTTTATGTTTTCTTTCAAAAACATATGCTGCCTATTTCATACACAAGCTCTAAAGTATCACATGCAACACTGTACTGTTAGTTTGAGCATGTATATTTGACTAAACTGAGTGTTCTTTTGTCAAATCAGATATTGTCTACTGATTTGTGTTCAAAGAACTTTGAATGAGTCCCCCTCCATTGTTTCCACAGGAGTAGTTCGTGCCTCTAGCATGTTCCCCATCCTCAGCACCGTCCTATTGATGCTCGGTGGGTTGTGTGTTGGTGTGGGCCGCATGTACAACAAGACAAACAATGTCCTCCTCAGCGCGGGCATCTTCTTTGTGGCTGCAGGTGAGATGGAAGGCACATGCACCGTGCACGCTGCTCCCACTGAGAAGCCATCACGTGGGCAGACATTTAATGTGAGGAAAGGCAGCTTGATGTGACGCACGTGGTCCACTTTGTACTGAATCAATGGTGCAATCACCAGGAAAAACTTAATTCTGCCTCGAAGACAGTCAGAACATGAATCCCACATGGGCGATGAAGAGATATGTCACTTAGTGCCTCAAACATGACAAAAGAGCTGTAATCATTGACTACTGAAACACTTTTACAGCATGTGCTCACAGTAATTGAACACTTTTAGAAGAAAAATCATTGATGAATGAGTTCTACTGACTCTCTCTCTTTTACAAAATGTAGTGGTTTCTTTCCTTTGAATTTACAGCCTCTTTCATATTTGTCCTTGTTTGTTTCTTCCCTTCCTTTGCTTTTCAGGTCTGAGCAACATAATTGGAATAATCGTTTATATATCCAGCAATGCAGGAGACCCAAATGATAAACGCGATGATGACAAGAAGTACACTTACTCCTATGGCTGGTCCTTCTACTTTGGTGCCCTCTCCTTCATTGTAGCTGAAACCGTTGCTGTCCTTGCCATCAACATCTACATCGAGAAGAATAAGGAGGTCCGCTGGAGGGCGCGGCGAGAGTTCATCCGTTCGCTCTCCTCCTCTTCCCCGTATTCAAGGATACCGAGCTTCCGCTACCGTCGACGGACATCGCGTGCCAGCTCTCACTCCACAGAGGCCTCCAGGGAGAACTCGCCCGTGGTTGGTCTAAAGAGAGCGCCATCTTCCAGCGGGCCTCTGGACGAGCTGTCCATGTACGCCCTGGCGAGGGACAGTGTGACAGACAACACCTACAGCCCTGAGCACGAGGCGGCCGGTGAGTTCCTGCAGGTCCATAACTGTTTCCCAAACGATTTAAAGGACGGGGTGAACCGCAGGACCACACCCGTGTGAGCATCGCAGGGCTCACCTGAAGAAGGAATAGCAAAACAAATGTAATATCAGTGGCCTGACCTGCCGGGAGACCTGCCATGTTAGAGTTTCCCCATTTTGAATGGACCAAAATGAGAGAAGCCAGCTTCTGGACAGAAATGAGCCAATTAACAGAAACTATGTAAATTACCATCTTGTGTTGGCCATTAAAGTAGAACAAATGTACCCGTTTTTATATTGAATCTAAAATGAGTGGTAGCGTTCAGCTCAGCAGAGATGAGCAGTGTGTTGCTGACAGTTCTCACCTGAATGATGCTCTCTACACTGGTGGTTTACATCAGATGAAGACCGTGAGGTGAACCTATCAGCGGTGTTCTACCTGTAAATCAAAAAGGTGCTAAGTGAAATATACACTTTAACTTGAAAGTGTTCCATTTGTGTGTACCGTTGAGGTCGGGATATTAACCCAAAGTGGATATTCTGTCCTCAATTTAGGTTTCATCTGATATTCTAATTATAGTTTCGTAAAAGTACAATTAAGAGTCTGTGTATGTACAAAACAAGTTGGCAAGCTGTAATGTATCCAATGTTTAGTATTTAAACACATGTCAATCATGGGCTAGACCAAACAATTTCAAGGGTTTTGTCTGTCTGTTTGTCCATCTTGATTTTTCTGACACTCAGAGAGGAACAAGATGTCTGTCTCTGTCAGTGAAAAATGTCTGTTCAGTGGTCTCATTTTTTCACTTCTGTAACAGTCTACTATCTCTCCATCACACCCCCTGATGGATGTGTCACTGTGTACGTGCCTATCAAAAAAGAAGAGCCGCCGATGAGAAAGCAGGTGCCCTGACCAGTGGGGATGACATAGGTCAGGACTTCCTATTGACCTGGACGGAGTCTCTGCGTCAAGTCGCTCATATGGATAAAGATCACAGCCAGGCAGGGAATTCATATCTGTTTGTCACAGAGCCTGTGAGTCCATCTGCCAGCCAGAAGCCCCCCCCCGCTTCAAAAAGAGGCCTCAGACAGACAGAAGCTGTGTTGAGCTGAATCTCCAAAGGATTTATCCATGAGCTGCTCATTCTGTCTATTCTCTCAGGAAATGCATAGTAGTGGTGGGTTGAACACTCTTTGAGTCCTTCTCCTTATTTCGTGGCTGTGGCAGCCAGCAGACCAGAGACAAAGGTGATTTTTATTTTTTGCTTGAGATTGCTCAACCAACCACCAGTTTTGGGTTTCTTTAGTGATGGTCTCAGTCATAGTGCGTGTGACGATCCAAAGGATAAAACTTCACAAGTTCACCTTAGCAAATTTAAAAAAGAAAAGCCATCAGTGTAGGTATTTCATTTTTATATTACAGTGTGTAAAAATAAAATAAAAATCCGTGTATGTGCAAGGTTGCAAATACAAGTACAATAAAACAACAACAAAAAAACAAGTTGTGAAAAGACTTGAGAGAATCAAAAGCCTCCTTTATGTAGGGTAATGGTTGTGTGATTCAAATTACATTTTATACATTCAGGCTAAACTGGTTTTGCTGTTGTTAGTATGTGAATCTATTGAATCTTCTGTTTTGTAAGGTGCAGTATATTAAATATGTTTAGGGAAATAAGCTATATTTTCTATTCCATATATGAATATCTGCTGTATATTCCTGTATGTGCTTATATTGATTAATGGCTCTCTGTATATAAAAACGTTTTTTTTGTTTTCTCTGAAAGAAACAAAATATTTAATTGTGAGTGCTTGGAAGGATGAAGAGTAATTGGACAAGTATGGAAAGGAGAAGAAACTGATTTTCTTTTTATGAAATGGAAAAGTCCTTCACCATGCTACAGTTTGTCTCATCACTATTGTAAAGGTATTTTCAGTGCCTTTGCTCTTTTTATGATCTACTGTATTTCTTGCTTTCTCTGTTCTGATGTAAAAATAAGATTTCTAATTTACATACCCCAAATGTGCTGTACATAAAAAATTAAACAAAAATCAGGGTCAAGTTGTTTGCGCTTTGGTGATGATTTCTTAGCATAGTTAAGAGTTATGGATTAAAGCCAATCAATGTTACCATAATTCATACATGAAGGGGACATGCATTTATTCAGCATTGTAATGAAAACCATCACAAAAGATGTGATTTAACCAAAACTGAATCTGCAATCAGGTGTGAGGGAAGGTCTTCCCAATTGATATGGTCCCTGAAGTGCAACAAAACACAACAATATTAGATATATATGAATCTATAAATCAAATAAACCACAACAAATAAAAAATCAAATGTTATTTCACTGAAAAACTAAACAGACATCATATTTTTTTTGTTGGTTTGTTGCGTCCTGTGAAAATATATTTGATTTTTTTTAAATTGCTTTGGCTTTTGTCTTTGCTTTTTAAAATGATAATTATTCAAATTCAATGTTTTTATAGTCAGCCTCCGTCTGTTTTCTGATCTGTTGTTGTTTGCTTATTGTCTGGTGCTGTTGTATAATGCGCCACCAAAACACGTAGACGTACCATGACTGTATCAGGACCAGAGTGAGGGATTCAACAGACAGACTGACTGGGACAAGCCAGGTGCATCTGTATAGTACAAAACTTACGTGACATAATTCAAACCATTTGCAATTGTTTCAGTTGCTCATGTTTTGGATTGTAGCTCTGTTTGTGGCTGACCTTTCCTAAGCTCTGAATCCCCCTTAAGTTTGGTAAAACTGAGTCACTTTCATCTCTGAGCCAGAGTTGAAGTCTCAATACTGTCAGTCAGCATAAAACTATCATTAGATTTTGATATTGAAATGTTAAAAAGCAGCCTTCTTCACAAAGATTACTCAGCGGAGAGCAAAGCGAACCTCTTTTCCGAGTGTGTATGTAACAGTGCTGGGATCTCTTGGGAAAAGCAGAATATGAAATATTCAGCTGTATGATTTGTCCTCTATCACAGTGTGTACAGAGGTGTGCTCTGCCTTGTATGAAAAAATAAAAACTAATTATGTACCTTTCATAAACAAGCAGTGTTAATATATCCTGGGAAATTACATTTGGACAGAAACAGCTGATGTCGCAGCATGAATGCTATATTAACTCCCTCTTATTTTGCCATCATTTAATTTCTTTTCCTTTTTCAATTTGCGATCATTAACATACAACTCACTCCCACATGACCTCGATTCATGAAGTAAGGAGGACACCTCTGAGGTGAACGTGCATTCCAACTGATCATGCATTTTTAGAGATGCATATTAACATCGTCTTCATAGTAAAATCCTCGGGGCATGGGTAATCTACTTTAACTTGAGTAATGTTGCTTGTCATTAACAAGTGAACAGAGTTGGGTCCCTCTGAAGGCTGTGCAATCTACTGTGCGATGGGTAAAATTAGCCACCAATTAAGGTTGTTTTTCATCCTGGAATAAAGATTCTGACAAGGAAGCTGGCAGCCGTAACTGAGGTAAATCACTTCTGGGTTCAGACATGTCGGCCCTGATTCCTGTGGCAGCTGTTAAATATGTTTCTGTCATTGCCGTCGCACATGTCTGCCTCTGAAATCTTGCCAATGATATTCTTGGTTCGGGGACCTGTAGAGAGTCTGTCACAGGTGAAAAGATATGCCTTACTTGTTGTCATCTGTATTCAGCGCTTTTCCTCCTCTCTCGGTTGACTCCAGGTGATGCTTTCTGTACGACACACTGTGTTGGAGGTGGTGTGTCACCGCTGTAGTCCACACGGCTGCCTGTTGCTTGGAGACTGTGCAGCTGTGAGGTGTTAGGTCTCTCTACAGTCACAAAGGGACCATGGGCAAATGATAGAGGTTAGAAGGTCACCCACGAAGACAAGCAGCGCCAAAAGAGACACTATTATTACATACTTATAGACAAGTGGCGGCTCTCACAGCCTTGGAGAGGGACTTCTCCTCTCCTCTGGGAGAACAAGCAGCTCAGCTGTAAATGTATCCAGGTGGAAAGTGATAATGAACACAAATGTTTCTCATCTCCTCTCAAATGCCCTGCTGTGGGCTTTCTTTTTCAAGTTGTGTGTGATGATGAATCTTTGATTATGGAACAGTTAGTTGAGGGTAGTTTCTATTCCAACCAATTCTCAGGCATTTTTTTTTCAGACCACATATCAAACAGCTCCTCAGCTCAGTCTTTTCTCCCAACTCATAGACATGAACAGTGTCTTTTGGTGTACGCAATTTTATCACAGTTAAAGACCCAAACTCATCCACACATTCTGTTGTGCATCATCTTTGAAGGCCTTACCTTATGCTTTTAGTGTCTCACCATTTAATATGCTCACAGAGCTGTGTGAGTGTCATCGGGACTGAAAATGGGCCAGAGTCCTGTTTAAAGTGGGGCGCAGTGGTTTATAAAAAGCTTGTCCATTTACTGAGGCACTTCATAGGGAAAGGGTTGATTGTGCCTTTGAGATGTTTAAAAGTTTAACACATCCGGTCATTCTGGGATTGTTTTAGGAAAGATGTACCAGTCACAAAATGCACGATTCTGCTGACTTTAATAACAAAAGTATCTATTTCCAAAAATGCAAACAAATGGCGCTCTAAGGGAGGATGCAAAAACAAACTACAGACGCTCTCAGAAAGAAGATGCAACAAACAAACAAAAGGCATTCTCATGGAGGATCAATATTCTCTATTCACACTGGACTCTCGACATGAGAAATACTCAAACACTGACAAATCCAACTTGACGTACACATCCATGAATCAACCAAGACAAAGCGAAAACTTATACAAGACGAGAGTGAACACAGGTGAACCAAATCAGGGGCAGGGCAGACAATTACCAGAGTGGGAAAATAAAGGGAGGAAGTCTGGGTCTGGCACGAGAGCGAAAGGGTGAGTACAAAAATAAAAGAAAGGTGCATGAACACGAAACATTGAACATGACTACATTGAACGTGCTTGACGAGACGTAACAGTACCAAATCTAAATGGGGTTCAAACATTGGTTTTTCATAGAGGATTGGACAATCATAATGCTGTATACAGCTACCTGTAAATTCAAGAATTAACAGGAGGTGTTGCACTGAAAAGTCCATTAAATCCCTGGCCAACAGGCCACTGAGGGTCATCTAAAAGAAAAATGCCAAGCAAAAGACGCTAAACAATATAGTCAGAAAAATTACCATTACCAGATTCTAGGAGCTCTATATTTAAGTACGTTTTCTGTCTTTCCTTATCTGGATCAGCTTTTGGCATCAGGTGGGACTCTTGTCTCAAACCTTGATTGCTGATTGGCCTAGTAAGTAGATCAGCCCAGTAAAATGACAACTAATAAAGGAAATCTTCCCTCCAGGAGTCCCTTGGCACACCTCACCAGAGACGACTGTGCTGAAACAGTTTGGGCTGAATAAGGAAGAGATGTTATAGAAAAAAGCTCCTGAAACAAAATTGGATTGACAATAGTGGCATGGTGTCAAAACCTACTGTGGGTGTGGGCGTTAATAGAACTTCAGAAGTGGCGCAAACACAATCAACAGGCTTTATCCAAAAATTTAAGTCAAAGTTTCCACTTTAGTCAAAATGATCTCACCGATCAAGCATTTAGTTTGGCATATGTAAGGATATCCAGGTGCATGGTTTTCACTTTGCTGAATGGACCGAGTTCATCAAAGACGAGTAAGGAGGGAGAGGAAGAGAGGAGTGAGGAAGAAAGTAGGGCACTGTTATCTGGCCCCTTTTTTACCAATCACCAGGCACAAGGCAGAGAAAGAGAAAGAAAGAGCCTGGGTGAGCCGAACAGAGGAGAGGACGTCGGCAGGGTTGTGAAGACGAGGAATCATCTGGACCTGAAGCCAAACTACGACCGGAGCAACTTTTGGCTGCAGCCTTTCGGGGTCACACACACGGCTGACACGCGGCTACACTCACACTCTCGCATTGCGCGTACACACGGGCACGTGCACACACCTACAGGTCCACAGCTCAGCAGGCGCGCACGTCCAGCGGAAACATGTTCGAGGAGCAGGCGACCAAGGTGAAGTTCACGTCTGTGGTGATCGTGGTGGGCATGTCGGCCATGCTGGCGGCCGTGGTGACCGACCACTGGGCTGTCCTCAGCCCACGGGTGGAGAAGCTCAACGCCACCTGCGAAGCCGCCCACTTTGGCCTCTGGAGGCTCTGCAAGAAGAGCATCTTCATAGTGGAGGAGGACCCTCAGGGCAAAGGATGTGGCCCCATCAGCTTACCAGGAGGTACGGAGCCTCGAGATCTTACAGCTGGCGAAGGAAAACCAGTTGTGAGATTCTTTTTTTTGTTCTAAAAAAAAAAAAAAGGTTTCCAGCCAAGATGTTGTTTCAACTCCATGGGCTGATAAAATGAATAGCTTTTGGCCTGATGGTTGTACTTATCAAAAGAATCAGTGTTCCTTATGTCATCTTCTGGTTGTATATGTGGAATGTTTTATTTTCTTTCTTTAAAAACACAAAGAATGCAGGTGAAAGTAAGGAGTCATTCATATATAGCTCTGAGCCTGGAATCATTAATTTTGTACAGTCATCATTGGTTTTTGTTGTGATGTTGCTGTTAGATCAACTTATCAAAACTGAGACATTTCCTAGAGTAACATAGCTGTCTCTTGTGGGCCAAGTTAAAACAAAATGGCTGATGGCGTCATAAGATTTTCAGTAAACACAGCGATATGGTGAAAAATCTTTTTTAATAATATCCAAATATCTGTGCTTTATTATCAAAAACTGACCGTTCTGTGTTAGGTGGAAGGAAGGAATGAAAGACAGTTTGGGTTTGAGGCTTGAATGTCAGCTGAAGTGTGCAGCAATGTTGGCAGGTCTCATCAGTGTGTCTGTCCCTTCCTCTGTTTTCTTCCCTTGCGCTTAGAATGGCACATGCACGCACATATGATGGTGTGTGTTTTGACAATCACGCAAACACTCACATGGATGCATGTTTGGACTAAATGTTTCACAACTCCGTGGCCAGTCCCTCAGTGAATTGTCATTATCTTCTACAGAGGAAGTCACTGAAAACACTGCCAATTAGACACACTCCAGCAGCTGAAGAGGAGTGTGTGGTGGAGGAGTACTGCTCTTACACTGAGCAAAGCACTGAGCAAAAACATAAATGTCCTCGGTCCATAAGATGAAAATGACCATCTTGAGAAATGCCCCACATGTAAAATCAGAGCCATTTTGCAACTGGCTTTTATCAGAAGAGGTGCAATACAGAAGAGCAATTTCTGAGGAAATACTTTCCAAATTCCTGTTAGGCCTTTAAAGATAAAAAGATTACAAGAAAGAAAAGAGCTCCAGTGCCATAAGATAATTCTACCTAGTATACAGTCGCTCTTTAGGTTAATTTTTGAGGAGCTTAGAATTGTAATGTGCACAATAATTTATGTTAAAATAAAGCCAGAATAATTTCCTCTTGTTTTGTTTTTTTCAAAGCAGTATAGCTTTAATTACAAGTTCCCTGGTATCATAGCTATCCATTGGGAAAAGCCGGTCTTCTAGCCTCCTAGCTGTGTGTGCGTGCCCAGCAGCCTAACAGAGAGATTTCATTCTGAGTTTGTCATTGACTTTGCCTCCAGCTCCTGCACCTCAGGATCAGTACAGGTCTTAATGAAGTGTGGCTTCCTCCTCCTGCTCGTGAGTTAGAGTACACCTGGGAGACATGGGAGGAATGACGGAGTGCAGAAGGAGAGCAGATGGGTCTATGTGGGCATGGATGCTTCTGTTGAGATGGAGATGTGGAGCACTTTTCAAAGAAATGAAAGAGGGAGGGAGAACTAGACTTTCAGTCACACCGTATAATGCTCGCTGTGTCACATGAATGTCACATGAATGAAGACAGAGGATGGTCAATAGACGGAGAGGTAAATGAACAAGTGGTCTGACGAATGTCATAAAAATTGGAGCCCAGATACGGATTCTTCTCTTTATTTTTGTCTAGACAGGCAAATAACCTGTGGCACAGCTTGGCAAAAGAAACAGCCGTGTGAGCACAATTTCAAATGCATTTTGGTACAAATTCAGTTATATATCCATTATACAATCACAGCAAAATGTGCAGAAATGAGGCTTTATGACAGGTTTGCTTAGCAGATGAAGACGTGGGTGATATTGTGTGAGGTACTAAGCTCTGTGCCTCTTAGAACTTTTCTTCCTCTCTGCAAATTCATGTGAAAGTCTAAAAATCATATTCAGTCAATTTGGTCAAAGTAAGAGAAAAACTATTCATTTGAATTCATACCTGTATGTCGTTTTCATCTTTTTCATAGTTGCAGAGAAATGTGTTCAATATCTAAACACATTCTAGATTCAAATCAATTTATGCCACCAAACAGACTTCTTTTCAGGCTTTGTTTACTTACCGGGCATGTCACTGTTAGCTTTGATGCCTCACTTTCTATGCTTTCCTGTTTGTGTAATTTCTTTTCCTGCCCTGATTGGTTTCACATGTTCCTCGAGATCCTTTGTGTAATCCTCTGTGCTACACAGCTTGTCAGGTTGTTGGACATGGTGTGTGCATGCTGAGTTTGTTAATCTGCTTCTGGTACATGTATTCCATATGCCTTTATATGTTTTTTTATTTTTGTTTTAATTTTTCTAAAGCTCTTTTTATATATTTGTTTCTGTGTATGCAGTATTTAGGTCAAATCAAACAATAATGCCTCTGTTACACATTAATAAGGTACAATATTAAATCCATCCATTCATTAATTTTCTGTACCACTTATTCCCAGCGGGGTCATGTTGTATTGTATCTTCTAACACATTGTGTTTGTTTTTTGCAATTGGAGTGAGTCTTCTCACCCAACATGCAACAAAGACCTTTCTAAGATGTGCCAACTGTTGTGAGAGGCTCTAATGCAACACTTAATTTCCACCCTCCACTGTCTACATACGGAAAGCAACCCACGGTACATTCTATCAGAGTATATCTGTGATTGCCAATATGTGTTCTTATATTTTTTATCGTTTTATTGATTTATTTATTTTACTGGATGACAGTGGTGTGGTGGTTAGCACCATCGCCTCACAGGAAAAGAGTTTTGGGTTCCCCAAGGGAACCAGGGCCTTTCTGTGTGGAGTTTGCATGTTCTACCTGTGTCTGCGAGGGTTATCTCCGGGTTCTCCGCCTTCCTCCCCCCGTCAAAAAAACATGCACTTACGGTTGTCTGGACATTCCAAATTGCCCTTATGTGTCCTTATATTTTTAATCGTTTTATTTATTTACTTTACTGGATGAGTTTCGGATTACGGGTGGCACAGTGAGTGTGAGTGTGTGTGGTTGTTGGTCCTTGTGTGTCTCCGTGCAGCCCTGCGATGGACTGGGGTGTACCCCGCCTCTCGCCCATTGACCACTGGGTTAGGCTCTAGTCTCCCCCGGACACCATTAGGGAATAAGCGGTGACAAAAACAGATGTATGGATAGATGGAGTTTCTGAATCTCCAAAAGACCACACCATGTGCCGTAAAGTGGAAGAATATTTTTACTGACAAGCTCACATACTGCTTGCTTTACTGTGTTGACTTTCACGCTGTCAAGTCATAGATATTACACTGATGGGTGTGCTGTAAAACAAAGGAACTGTGTACACTATCCATCCATCCATCCATTATCAATACCGCTTATTCCCTGTTGGGGTCACGGGGGGAACTGGAGCCTATCCCAGTGGTCAACGGGCGAGAGGCAGGGTACACCCTGGACAGTCCGCCAGTCCATCGCAGACTGTGTGTTAAATCAAATATCAGGTGACATCTTACAGCTTATTTCTTGGGATGTGTGACAGTTGTAGTACCCTCTGGGCAAATTTTATTAAACATGACAAAATGATTTGTTCTCTGTACTAAACTACTATGTCTGACTAAGACCCATACAGCCCCCAACAGTGAGATACAAAGGAGAAACCAGGAGAGAAAAACAGACTCTTTCTGCCCTCGGCAGTTCATGTGACACAAAAGGGCTGTTTAGAAGCTAAGTAAAGGAAGTTTAGTGGGAGCCCACAATTAGTATGTGATTTCTGTCTCCAATACTGTTGCACGTGCTTTTTTTTCAGTTAAGGTGTCAGTGTTTGAAAAGTAGCAAGCCACAGGCAAATACACCAAGTGACAATGCCTGCATGGAAGAGATTGATAGATAGATCATGCTACAAATAACAGACGTCAAACATGAAAACACAATGATGACTCATAACACAGGCTGAAGTATCCAGTGAAGCACTGTAGGAACAGAGCTTTATCAGTATGACCAGCACTGGCACACCACAGTTCCGTTATTTGCTTCTCAGTTTAATGTGTTGTTGTATTTTTCATCCATCCATTATCTAACCTGCTTATACCCGGTAGTGTTCCGGGGGGGGGGGGCTTACAACGGCAGGAAGAGGGGTGCATCCTGTACAGGTCGTCAGTCTATCATAGTGCCATTGGTTTGTTTTGTTTTTAAAACAAATATGGAATGGAATTATTGTGGGAGAGCCATACCTGATTACTTCCTGGATCAATCCAGCAGTGATTGGACTTCGTAACACAAATAAGTAACACAAATTAGCATTGGCCCAAAACAGGGAAGGAGTTCATTGTCAAGAGGGGAGTGCAAAAAAAAAACCTTTTTACAGCCCACTGTTAGACTTTTTCTGTTGAAAGGGTCTAAAGCAACTGCAGCAAAATGGTGAGCCCAAATGACTTTACAAATGTGCTTCCTACAAATGACAGCTTGTGTGCTGTAAAAATCAAACCAACCCTTTAAGGATCCTATCGTGCAGCACGGCAGGGAAATAAACAGAATAAATGGAGCTTTTGTGTTCTACCACACATAAACATACAAAGAGGCAAGGGAGAGAAGTTTATTATCAGAGATGTTTTAGAGCTTCCATTTGGTCAACCATCATGTTTCCCAGTCCTGCAGTAAAAAGAAATTACCCCAAAGACTACCTCTTCACATGTAATATCTTCACTCTTTTGTTTTTATTTCAGCGGCCCAATGTCTTGGCCATGCCCCCAATTTATACATTCAGAGACAACCATGTCATCTTGAAACACCTTTTTTACATTCTCATCACCCAGTTCTTTCTCTTTTGTATACTGGCTTCCTGCTCCAAGCCGAGACAGAGACTTGTTGAAGTCAGTGAATGATTGAGTAGAATTTGCCACTCCCAAACCAACTTACAGCTTCAAATGTGTGTCTTAAAATATCACTTAAAAACAATAATGTCAAGTTATATTTATTCAAAGGGGGCTGATGCAATTTTAATATGAAATTTCCTTAGGATGATTAGATTAGAATATTATGGTTTTGTTATTCTAAGGCAGGACGGCGGCAGCACGTGTGTGCAGTATCGTGTGGAAAGCACTGTGCTGTTGTGTCCTAGTTATCAGCACTCCTGGTGGAATAGTCATTCAAAAATCCCCACCATGCATCTCATTCACATTGACCCTGAACTAGTTGGTCATGCTGTGTGGCTAGAAAAAGAAACTTCTCACACCAATTAACCTAAAAAAAGCCGTCCTATCCTTGAAAAATATATTATTTACAACAAAGTGTGAGTCCTCAGGTAAAATCAATGAACCAAATGAGGAAGACCAAAAGAATATTGACAAAAACTTGAAAGAGAGAAAGAGTTACAGGTGAAGAGTGGAGGGTGGGGAAATGGTCAATTATGAGCTACACATCAAAGAGAGAGGCCAGCACTTTAATGGGAAGAGGTGAAACTAAAATGACAGGCGATACTTTGCTCTAATCACCCTCCCCCTGGAACTAAATCTTCCCATTAGCTAACTTCAAGGTTGATGATACGCACCCAGATGTCCCCCTCCTCGGTGGATGATCGTTATTTAGAGTTGTTATCATGCCTGCCATTTTTTTTTTAACCAGCTCTGGATAGTTTGTTTTATCGTGAAATGTGAGTGTTTTCATTCTGCCAAAGTGCTGAAAAGAGTTTTTTTGTTAAAATGATTATTTTACATTTGAGGTTTTTCATTACATATCAAAGTTTTGAGGTATTGAATGTCTTTTCTTAATACCTTGCAAACCCTCTGATGCCAGAAAACTATCCATGCTGGTATGTACATGTGTCCATCCTAAAAACTACTCACAAGGCCTTTCAGTTCTTTTTATTTTCAATTCATCTCTTCAACTGCGCGACTCCTGGAATCATGCAGTAAATTGTAAAATGAAGCATCATATTTGCGGTCAAGAATGGAGAGCTTTACAGGCACAGCAACTTTCACAGAAATTTCAGTGATCCTTCTTAATTCATCAAGTCCCAGAAAAATAAATAATGGCTTAACCTTCCGAAGGATCCCTGTGCCATGCAACGGTCCTTTTGTCTTATCTTTGTGCAGCAGGCAGATAAAAGTTAGGAGTGGAAAAAATCTTACAGAACACCCAAACACGTATTAGCTTAGATTAGCCTGACCCCAGAGGTAAAGGCACAAAATGAGAGAAAACTAATGAAAACTAATGAAAAAACGTTTTTCTACCTGTGCTTTTCATCCCTCCTCAAACACACTCACATTCATGCACATATGGATGTATGTGGATATGCACATATCCACGTGTGTGCATGCACACAGTCCTCTTGATTTATGCTTTTGCACAAATAGAAAGGACTAGCCTAGACCTGCAGCAGCCTGTTGCTAGGTTACCTCTTTAGTGATTCTTTCTCATCATGGATAACAAACAGCTCCCCGGTTGCCTGGTGCGCACACACACTCGTAGCTTGTATGTGCACATACACCCAGATAGACACAAACATCGTCTGTCCCTGTGTGAACAAGGAAAGCACCTGTCTGCTTTATGGGTTTAATTTCACCAAGAAAAGATATCAAAGAGAGGGAAGAAAGAAGACTAACTTGGCCTTCAGGTCTATTCCAACCCCTCTTCTCCACACAGTTGCCTTTAGAGGCAGCAAATAGACAGATGGATGAGTGGGAAATGGCTGGTCCCTTGAATCATGTCTTACCGCTGAGGCTTCACCAAAAAATTGTGGTCAAAGGACCAAAGGTTGAAGAAGCGAAGTGCAGAGAGGCAGAATTTCTGTGAATAAGTGGCGCAGGTGGATTTGCATCAAAACAGGTCATGTACAGGACTCTCAGGAGTTTAAAGATTTTATTTCAAGATGACTACAAATCACAGAACACTGCTGTGATTTAGAGAGAGTGATGGTTAAACTGTGATCAAAGAGAGAAGATGGGGAAGGATAGGATTCGGTGCTTAATTTTGTTTAAATTAAATTAAGCAAAAATGATTTTTTGCAACTTGAGGAAAATCTAATTTTTGAGTCACTCGGCAAAGATGTATGTCAGGTAACTGATAAGGTAGCTCTTGTTTTGGTTGTATAAACAAGAAAAGCTCTGATTTAATGCTCTGAAGAATGGAAATCTTTTTTGTGTGTGTGTTTCAGCTGCCCTTCTGACCTAGAACCTTAATGAGTAAAATACATAAAACATTTTTTTGTTATTATTATTGACAAGTTGCACATAATGAACATGGTAAAGCATTAGTTATGTTTCTCACTCCTTTAGATGCCTTTACAGAAAAGTGGTCAGTGGCACAGAGACACAGTTATTCAACTTAAAAGACCTTTTTTCCCCCATCCTAAGGCTTCTCCCTCATTCTACGTCTTTACTGTTTTTCCTGTCCCTCACAGCAAAAAACTGTTCCTACTTCAAACACTTCACATCAGGCGAGGAAGCTGAAGTTTTTGAAGTGAAGACTCAGAAAGGTGGGTGTCTACTCACGTTCACTCAGATGTGATTTATCAGAACATAAAACTATGGGATTTTGAAAAATGCCCAAAACAGACAGAATGACATGCTTATATTATTATAAATTTAAACCGATAATATCTTAATCTAATCATCTTTCATAGTAGAAGAAATGTCACGTTATACATAAGATCCCACCAATAATTCAACATAATCTATAGCACACCCCTTTTTCACATGCAAGAGAAAAAGTAACTGCCAACAGCAGACATGTTCAAAGACAACTGTCACTATTAATTTTTTCTCACTCGTTTTGTGATGAGGGGAATCTCACACAGTAAAGTAAACTAAGCAAGCAACTACCAATGATTGCTTTTGGTAACTCCAGACAAATCTATATTTCATACTTAAGCCTTTTTTAATGCTTTATTTTCATCTTAGTTTACACTGCAAAAGCCCGCAGTTCACTTCAATGTCTTATCATAATTACAATCTGCAGTGATCTTTTGTTTAGTTTATTTTTTCTCCTTCAAGTCTGTTTTATTAAGTTCTTGTCTGATTCTGTTGAATTTGTTGTTTTCAATGTTCTGTTCGACCACAATTTTGAGTCGCTGATCATTCTTCTCTATGTGCTAACACACCTGTTTATTCCCCCTTAACATGGGTTGAAAAGGGGAAAAAAAACATATTTTGTTATTGTAGAATGTTTAAAGTGTGAACCAAATGAAGAAGGAAGTGTTTGAGAGGGCCATTTACACTTGGCATTTTTTCAGAGTTGGTATGGTGAAGTATAAAAGTATCTCTGATTATTATTTTTATCCCAGTTGGAGTGCTACAGTGAAGAAAGAACAAGGAAGAGGGCGGGAAGACAGACATGTTTTCATCATCTTGTTATAAGCCTGCAGCATCTTATCTGTCAGGCAAACTGTGATATTGCTAGTTTGCATAAATGACTGTTGTTTCTAAAGTGATCTAATTTAAAGGCTAATGATGTGTGTCATAACGTGATTAAGTGCTGTATTAAGATAGTTATTATACCAGAGCAATACTGAAAACTCCCTGCCTGTTCTTTCCAGTTTGTCTGCCGTCTCTTTTCATTTCTCATCCTTGCCCTGTCACAGTCTTTCATTCATTCTTCTCGATAGTAACTTTTCTTCTGCTATTCATCATATTTTTCTAATTCTAAGTGATTTCTCTTTTTTTTTTAAAACCCAGAGTACAACATATCAGCAGCAGCCATCGCAATCTTCAGTCTGTTTTTTATGATCCTGGGGACCCTGTGCGTCGTCTTCTCCTTTGGGAAGGGGCGGGACTACCTGCTACGGCCTGCTGGGATGTTCTTCGCCTTTGCAGGTCAGACATTACTGGCATTCACTTTTGCTGCTCATCTCAAAGCTCAACTTAAGAAATCATCTTCTCACATGTCCTTCATTATTAAAGCTAATTGTCATCAACGCTGATTTTTCAGTAAATTTAGTTTGAGTTGCCTTTTGTTGGTGTGAAATAAATCTGTCTATGTTGATTTTCTTATTAAATGTCCAAGTCTCATCCAGCCCTGCATGAAGTCTCTGAAAATCCAAAGCAAAGTAGTTATCTTCCACTGTGACAGTTTTAACAATATAAATTACATTTATGCAAATGAAGTGTGTGCTTTGGGAAGCGTATTACAAGCCTTTTGTTTTGTTTTGGCATGCAGGCCTTTGCATCATCATTTCCGTTGAGGTTATGCGTCAGTCTGTCAAGCGAATGATCGACAGCGATGAGACCATCTGGATTGAATACCACTACTCCTGGTCTTTCACCTGTGCCTGTGCCTCCTTCACGTTGCTAATCCTCAGTGGAGCTGCCCTGCTTCTTATCTCCATGCCCCACATGCCTCGTAACCCCTGGGAAACCTGCATGGATGCAGAGCCTGACACCTTAGATTAGCCAAAGGTGATTCAGAAGGCACATCTGTTTAAAAATATCATACAAATGTAAGTTGTTTGGAACACTTAGCCCTTCAACTATCTGTCCAGTAAATCGCAAGTTCAAAGGGTTAAAAAACTATTTAAATTATGAATCTGTTAAGCAAGAAAACAGCAACTTGTTCTGGTCTAAAAGATGTCAGCTTATGTTGCTACGTTCTATTATCTTGATTATTACTCATATACCTGATTTGTCCCATATGAGGGCCACATTTAAGTTTAAGAAAACATCCTCATGATGAACATTACAAAAGTTGTTCCGTAAAACTGCAGGAAACTTGGTTGGCTTCAGGAGCCTTTTCTATTCTGTCATTTTTATACAGTCTATTATAGATAAGAATGATCTTCTTTGGTGAGGGATCTGGGAGTGTGTTGACTTAAAAAATTCAATTCATATACCTACATATTATGGATCAAACATAGAATATCAGGAAGATGTATGTTGTGCCATGCTGGCTTTGTTGCATGTCTTGCCAGTAACAGCATGAGAAATTCTGACAATTTAAATGCTTTAGAGGGATCGAGTAAGAAATTCAATCATTTGTTAGAGTATTTGTGAGGGAATAAGCCCAGCCAGTGTTCTGGCAACAAATTGAATTTTCTAATGTATTCTCGATGACTTCCAGAGATGTCAATCATGTTTTTCCATTTCTACAACAATTCAGTGTTTCAACACTTGTCGGTTGCTCAGAAATAGGTAATAACTTTTAAATTTGTTTAGTACCAGTACCAGTACAATGATGAAAATGGCTCCCTTTCCCAATCTTTGGGAAACAAGGCGCCCAAAATATGATTATCTTCCACAAAGTAAACTGCTATTCTTGAAAGGCGACCTACATTCACGTGGCTTTTTAAAGCAGCGGTCAGAGAAAGCTGAACAAACTTAACAGAGCACTCTGACCACATTGGGATGAAATCTATGCAAAGCCTAGAGTGTCATGCCTACAGGAACGTGTGTATATTGAGACCTAGGGTACACCCTGGACAGGTCACCAGTCCATCACTTACTCATGAGACACACATCCACTCGTACTAATGATTTGGAGTCACCAGTTAACCTAATATGCATAATTTTGAACGGTGGAGGGAAACACCAGCTGAAAACCCGCATGACAGGAAACTCCACATGGAAAGGGCCCCTGGACTGGAACCTTGTTGCTGGGAGGTGACGACACTAGGCATGCTAGGATGCGAAAAAACTTCAAAAAGCAAAAAAGCAGGAACAATGTGAGAGCCATGTCATTGCGGACAAAAAAAAAATCAAAGGCTTTAAGGTGAAAGAGGATCAAACTGATGGACAGAGCCGATAACTGAAGATTTTCTGTAATAGATCCTCTCATGCTCCTCTGATCCCTTCAGCAACACACACCTCCCGCCTTACCTTTACCTAGATCATTCCTTTCACACTTCACTATTTTAATAATAAATAAAATATTTCAATAAAGTATGCTCAGTGAGGGACTTTTTGAACCGTGCTACAACCAAGAGTGGTCCAGGAGGTCATTCCAATCTGTGGCCATAATTCTTAAAAGACCTGTTAAATGCTTAAAAGGTACCGCAATTGTTTGGTCATAGCTTGGCAAATCACACCCATAAAGAGTATAAAGATCTTTCTTTGTGTTTTGAAAGTAACCGTCATCACACAATACTTTTATTTAGAACATTTGTAAAGATCTAACTTAAATTATTGAACGAGAAGTTGTGGATTTTCTTTTAGTTGTTGCGATGAGACCTAAACAAGCAGTCTGTATACTACCTACACCACCTGGGAAAGGAAAAAACACACTTTGTCACCCTCCAGTTGGGTTTATTTGGTTCAGGTTAAATGTTGACCTCATTTGGGGTTAAAACACATTCCCTTTACAATGTGGCCTTCACCCTCGTAGAGACCAATTTTTACACTTCACATGTAACTGCTCTTTTAATGTTTTTATTAGTGCTACCTGTCACAAAAGGTCTCTTACACTTTTATAATAATCTCCAATTCCTTTCGAAAGACAGAGGACAAATTTTGTAGAATTTTTACATTGGTTTGACAAGGAACGATGCAGAGGGATACCTCCTACATGCTGATTTAACTTTAGGTATCATGCATTAAGCTTTTAGACGTTGAGTTGAATTTGTACAATAGTCAAAGAGCTTATGTTAGTTTAGGCAAAACATATACAAAAGATTATTCAGTGTAGCTTGGTTTGAAATAAAATATAGTCACAGATTTGTGTAAAATGATACATTTTGTAACTTTTATCTGCAAGTTTATAAGGCAAGGAAAAAAACAGACTGATGCTGGCCAAAGGGGCAACTGTCAGTGTAAAGTTTGCCTCTTAACTTTGGTGGATTCTCTCCTGTTTCTTCATAATTTAAGAAATTCGATTTTTTTTATTGTATTTTATAAATCCTGGTTTGTTTATCATGTTGTGGCTGTTTTTCTTCAAAGATGGGGATTTTACGATTTTTTTCCCTACACATTCTCTTGATATTAAAATGGTACATTAAAGCCAGAGGCATGTTCTGCTTTGCTCTGCAGGCAGCTGTATTGTTGCAGTAAGATAAAAAACTCATTCAGACATATGTGATGTGTGACATTTTGAACAGTGACATGATTTTCATGCCACCCACGCTTAAATGTATCATTGTTCGATGAGTCACTGCGGTTCAGGTGAAGAGAAATTAAAGATGCCTAAATTATTATTACGAAAACAATACATGTCACTTTTTAGGGGAACAATTCCACTTAGAGTGACAATTTGACTTTTCTTTCTCAGAAACTTCTCTAAACCAAAATTTTGATGTGCTGTATTTTCATCCATGCTCAGAAACTTCCAGATATCAGAAGATCTGCTGGAAGCCGCTGACCCACTGAGTTAATTAATGTCATGGGAATGCATATAAATAGCATGCCACTTCAAGCACATTTCACATATCATGTCTACACATCTCAAGCTTTTCAAGTGGAATTCTTTTTAACTGAATGACAGCCAAAAGGGTTAGCGTCAGGGTTAAGGTCAAGTTAGAGTGTCGAGCATGAAATGAGAGATGAGAGGCTAATTTTATTTGAGAATTAAGAAAAAATGCTTCACTGACATAGTTTCTGTGTTTTCATGACATAATTTAAAAGATCATTTCAAACTAGGTTTTTGTATAAGACTCTCAATACATGTAATAATTCTATTACCATCATTTGTACTTTAGATTTTTAAATGCTCTAATACTGTAATGAATGTTTTTGCAATAATAATAAAAAAGAGCGTGACCATGTTTTTTCTTGCACGTGTGTTTTACATAAACTTCTCTACAAGAAAATTTTGATGCATCAACTTCAGATCCTGATGAAATCATATAAACTCCATTACAACAAGGTCGTCCCTCTGTAGCATCATCTGGTGTGTTTACATATTGTCAGGGAGGTGGGTGTTGACGGGAGGACTCAGTCGCGGAATGAGGGGAACAAGGTTTATTGACAAAAAACAGGGTGAATGTCCAGACAAGGTACAAAACAAAGCTGTGGCAAACTGTGGGCAAAGTAACAAAGCAATGAGCAAACAATACTGTGGCAAAAACTATGACTTGACAAAGTAACAAAATAAAGATAAACAAGACTATGACAAAACGTGACTATGACTATGGCAGAACTGTGACGAAACAAACCTGGCGTGGGGGTGACGACGGACGAAAGGACAAGACAAGACAAGAAGACTAGAACGACCCCGCACCAGACAAGGGGAAACGAGGACTATTTAAACACATGAGGGAGGGAAACCCCAGGTGTACACAATAGGTAATCAAGACGAGACATTCCCCCAGGCGTGACACATATTGAGATTGAGAGCAGGCGCTCATTTACTCGCACACATTTCAAATCTTTTCATTACCAAGCATTCAATTGCCTTCCTAACATAATACTCTCACATTCATGGAGTCACCTCAGTTCAACGAATCTCTCAACCAGAAAATGTGGTTCAATTGAGAGACAAACTTCTTGTAAATGCTCTAGAGACCTTAGACACATCATGTTAGAGTCTTTCAGGACTGAATGTAATAGAGGCACAGAGCCTCCTAAATCATTCATGAGACCTTTGAATTAGAGCTAAATTAATATGTTTTTCACATCTGATATCTGGAAGCTCTTCGGGGTTTTATGTTATATTCGTGCTTTAACCCCTGCGTTGTGCGCACACTAATTCCACAGTTTTGGTTTTCCATTCACATTTCAACAGGTTTGGGTTTCTGTGCTTTTTCACACACGGATAATGCTTTTCTGCACCTGTCTGGCCATTCACAGTCGTTATAAAAATACGCATTTCTTTCTTTCAAAATGACGCATGAGAAATGGACTGACTCAGTTTTTCAGCACACGGCCTTTCATGACAATAAAGCAACAATTATTATTAGGAATTGAAAGACACATTGTGCTAAATGGTAAGAAGGCTACTCAGAGCATGACAAAGGAAGCAAATCCGATGTGAGCTGAAGCCGTAAAGAAAATGTGGTGTCTTCATAAAGCAGGATGAGCTGATCAGTAGAGGACAAGCAGCCAGCAAGAAGACAAAATAATGCAATGTCCTTTTTAAAATGTTAGAATAACACAGCTTATATGTTTATCAAATTAATCAGACTAGAGTCATTAATGTAATGATAAGTTTAAAATAATAAATTACCTTTTATTGTTTGATCCCTTACCCAGTTTTCTGTTGGGGTAAAGAATTATGTAGAAAATACAAATCTTATGATCTATCAAAGTGCAAGATCCAAAACACATAGTGCAGTTTGAAACCATAAAATAGTCAAATTTGATGTTTTCAGGATGAAAATCTGACTGCAGACTTCGCATTTTCTGGACTTTACCTGAAGAAGGTGACTGGCAAGGCCATTGTCCAAATCAGTCAGACTGGACTTTGTACTCAGTTTGTTCTGCCAGCTTTCTTGTACAGTTCACAATGTTCCAGAGGACCCGATGGATGAAAACATAGTATAAGCCTAATTTGTGCTGTTGGAGTGAGTGTTGAAGACGTTTACTGATTCTTCTCACCAATATGCTGCTTTTCACCTTTTACATTTAACACGTTGAGGCTGACACCAAACCTGTACTTGTAATGAAAAAGTAGCTGAACTTATCAGTTATACAGAATGTGCTTTGAATAAAATACCACAACACCTAGCAGAGGGTGTCAACATTATTTTCCCTGCTCACTCTGGGGTCAACTTTACCATCCGGCCCAGTATTGCGATCGTTGCGCTTTCATCTACCATAATATAATCTGACTTAACTATTTTACAGAGTGAACAACCCATTTTCATTATTTCATCACCTGCTGCACAACTGTATATACTTTATATTTCTCTGTAATAATCACATTATGTGCATACACCATAGTATAGAATTATACCCATAACAATATCAATAGTGTTCATTATACATACCTGTAGCACCAATTGTAAACACACACATATTTAGATATTGAGTTATATGTCTACATTTTTGTATATGTTATATGATATGACAATTGCTGATTATACACTCGTTAGATGGAATCTGCATTTTCATTGCCAGTACCTGTGGCAAAATGTTTTGGTCTCATCTCATCTAAACATGTTCCATTCTGAATATGAACCAAGGTTTGGTGAAAACAGATAGACAGAAATAAATACACAGAAAAACAGAAATCAATTTTTGACAGTAACAAATGCTAATGCATTGACTTAGTACATTTAGTACTTAGTAACATTTGATGGGAAGTTTTTCAAGACAGAAGCACCCTTACTCTGGTAAGTGTCACCATCCTGTCACTGTTGTTCTTTGTCTCAAGTTATCTTTTACTGGGAATCAGTTAGTTACAGAAAACCAAGTTCTTCTATGTAATAACATTAGTAATGCTTCCATATATAAAAAAAGAAATATGTTGTATATTTTGTATTGTATTACTTTATATTTTACATCATGAGTTGTTAATACTAAAGTATAACTCCCAGTGTTATGGAACATCAGCAGTTATTTAGTCTTTA